ACCCCAAAAGAAAACGCTCTAACAAAAAAAAAACATGTTTAAAAAGTGGGTTAAACGTGTAAGCATAAGGTAAGAAGGAGTACAACTGCTATATAATGATATCTACTCACTTTCACTATATAATTTTTTTATTATAATATAATCTTTAGTTCTATTTTTATGATATTTTTTTCTTTATCCATCTAAAGTGCACTTAAAAAGTGACCCTTTTTGTAACATCTCTATACTCAACTCAACTAACCCCTGGTCCCCCTCTTTTGCCTTTTTTTATAACAATCCCCTCCCCACCTCCCTCCATTTAGTAAATTTCCTTGGCATTTTTGTAATTGCTTTCATATTTGTCAGTTTTGTTTTCCGTTTGTTTGTCAATAAAGTGTTTGTAAATTAAGAGCTTTCTGGTATTTAAACATTTATCAAATGAATTGTCAAGGTTTATTTGTTTGACATTTCATTAAGCCTCCATAAAAAGTTAAAAAGCAACCTTATCAAAGATTTAACGTTTCAATTTCATTAATGCGTGAACAATTCTCTATAGAGAAATTAACGTTATGGAAATCACAATTCAAATAATTTGTTTATCATATTATTCTTAAATAATAATGCTATAATTGAAATTACTTCGTAAAGGATGATTAAACAATTTGCGCCTTATTGAACATACAGTATTGTTCGAAACCAAAGCAACTATTTCATACAATATACTTATATTATATACATTAACGGTTCCCAAATTGGGTCCGTATCAATGTATCTGGGGCGAAGAGCTTCTATTTTTAAACATTTGTACCATTTCCCATGGATATGGATTCCGTTCCATATCTTATCTTTTGAGACCAAGAACGAATCAAACCAATTTCGAATAACATGTTCTGAAGTAAAACTTATCTCAGATAAAGCGTTCGAATTCAGTCGATGAAATAGTAATCAAACGGGACAAGGTCTGGACTATAATTTGGATGGGACAAAACTTCCCAAGGACTTCTTTCTTAATAGTTTTTAACTGGTATTAAAACGTGTGGCCGAACACTTTCATGACTGGCCGCATATTCTGATCGTTTTTCGGATAAATCTCACTTCCAACGAATCACTTGCATTCGGTGCAAATTACCTGTGATGATAGGATCAGATTTTAGTAGTACATAATAGATAGAATACCCTTTTGGTCCTCCAAATACAGAGGCCCATGGATTTGGTATTTAATCGGTTGATTTGCGAAGTTTTACATATGATCTCCTACGTTTTAGATTATCATAATGGATGTATTCTTCATCACAAGTAATGATTCGATTCGGGCCAGATTTCTGTAGTACATAATAGATAGAATACCCTTTTGGACCCACTAAATATAGAGTATTATCTTAGCGCCCTGGATATTTGGCATTGATGTCGATTGTATTTGTTGTACTACTTAGTGTAGAACATGTTCCCTTGGTGAACCGCCTTCAACTTCGTATTATTGCAATTCTGGGTAATTTATGACGACTCCAGTATCTAAAAAATGAAGGAGTCCAATGACTACTAAGGATTACTTGACTCGTGATTTGACCAAAATACCTATTGATGAAGATCGTTCTTTGGTCTACCAAATAAGAAGAGAGTTTTAAATCAATCGAAGCAAATAGTAGCCAAACGAGACAAAGTCTGGACTATAAGGTGGGTGTGGCAAAACTTCCCAAGTACTTCTTTCTTAATAGTTTTTAACTAGTATAACAACATGTGGCCGAGCATATTGTCATGATGTAATATTACATTTTCTGACCGCTTTTCGGATAAATCTCACTTCCAACGAATCACTTGCATTCGGTGCAAGTTACCTGTGATGATCGGGCCTGATTTTAGTAGTACATAATAGATAGAATACCATTTTGGTCCCTCCAAATACAGAGGCCCATGGATTTGGTATTTATTCGGTTAATTTGCGGAGTTTTACATACGATCTCCTACGTTTTAGATTATCATAATGGATGTATTCTTCATCACAAGTAATGATTCGATTCGGCTGCATTTCGGTCAATTACAATTCGTCATTCAAGATTTTTCGGTATCAATTATTATGGTATCCAATTTCCGGACTTTTAGATTAATCCTGCTGCTTGCAAAAGTTTTGAAATCTATGCCTGATTCACAACTTGAATCCTATTAGCAGACAACTAACTTTGGGACCTTAAGGGGGCTGGCCGGAGTTATGCCCTCCCATCGATGTGGGAGAGATCCGTTTCCCTTAATAACCTACTACTTAGTCGTTAGTTTCCTTGCCTTTAGAAGTGATGTCTTACAACCTGCCCTAAGCGTTTCAACTATAGACGAATCATTTTTTAACTTTTGACCGAACCGGCATGAGAAAGGAGTTTTTCGGATTGCCAGCAGCCACTAGATCCTGTTTTTCAGAAGAATACTCTAGCAAAATAACATTTTCGAGACCGTTGATTCTTCCGAATCTGGCAACGAAAACGAGACACAAAAAATCTTGCGTAACAAGATTGTCGTCCATTGCCTCCTTTCGATTCACACCCTTGGATCTCCTTAACTTCATATTGCATATAGAAATATAGAAATACTGAGTGACGAAGTTTTTTCCAAAGTAGAAAAGTCTCACAGGGGAGGACTCTTCCAAAAAAAACACTTACGGGTAGTTTCTCTCAAATCTCTCTAACGACTTGCCAGAAAATCCGGTATTTACAATAACTCGTGGAGATGCATTCTATCAATCCGATCGACACCTTGGATTCCCTTTGCATCACCAGTAGTATGCCACTGCCTTCTGACTATTGCTAGATAACAACGAGATATCGTCTCCTCGAAATACTGATAGGTGCATGTTTCTCCAAAAGAGTAGACTCTCAGAAGTGAACTCTCCCTAATACCGAAGGGGCAGAAGATTCTTTTGAATTTGGCGACAACTACTTAATGACCCTACACATCTCTAATCCATCTTAGTCAGGAAATCTAGAAATCTCTTCTCCTTAGTCCGTCTGCTATTTACAATACTCATGGAGGGGCCATCATAGCGTCTTGTGGGCAACCTATGAACAGATATTGTCAGAGAGCAGAGCTTTCTCCTCCTAATTCTGAGTCAAGCATGTTTCCCCAAGGAGTGATCCGACAATCTCAGATTAACATCCATATTCTGTTCATCTAGTTAAGTAACCTCAAAATACTGATTAGCGCATGTTTCTCCAAAAGAGTAGACTCTCAGAAGTGGACTTTCCCTAATTAATATCGAAGGGGCCGAAGATTCTTTCGAATTTGGCTACAACTACTAAATGACCCTACACATCTCTAATCTATCTTAGCGAGGAAATCCAGAGATCTCTTCTCCTCCGTGCGTCTGCTATTTACAATACTCGTGGAGGACCATCATAGCGTCTTGTGGGCGACCTATGAACAGATATCGTCAGAGAGCAGAGTTTTCTCCTCCAATTTCTGAGTTACGCATGTTTCCCCAAGGAGTGATCCGACAATCTCAGATTAACATCCATATTCAGTTCATCTAGTTAAGTAACCACGAAATACTGATTGGCGCATGTTTCTCCAAAAGAGTAGACTCTCAGAAGTGGACTTTCCCTAATTAATACCGAAGGGGCCGAAGATTCTTTCGAATTTGGCTACAACTACTAAATGACCCTTCACATCTCTAATCTATCTTAGCGAGGAAATCCAGAGATCTCCGTGAATCTCTTCTCTATTGTGCGTCGACTATTTACAATACTTGTGGAGGGCCACCATAGCGTCATGTGGGCGACCTATGAACAGATATTGTCAGAAAGCAGAGCTTTCTCCTCCAAATTCTCAGATTAACATCCATATTCAGTTAAGTAACCTTTAGTTGTACACTCTTCTAAAGTCGAGAACTACTATAAAAATGTTCCAAAACTCGCACATAAGAACATTTGGACCACAGACTTCAGACTTCGCATCGCAACATAATTGTTAATCGGGCAAATGTTATTATGGACTTGTAATCAGTTGCCGACTTGTCGCTATAAAAATAAATTTCTTTTTTGGTTTGTTTTAATATTTTTTTCAAACAGTTCCAAGATTTGATTCGAAACTAATGTACAACTAGAGCCAAAGATTTGAGCCCTTGAAAATTCTTTAGAAGTACTACTTTGGAATCACAACAATCTATTAAAGAAGGGGTAGCGATACACTAATTTCAAGTTTGCTGATCAAGAAACTGAAGTTGGCACCCGATTGTACCTATAAACATATAAATAGGCATATAATATCCTAATGGAATGAAAATGTAAAAGAGTGAAATTTCCATTTTTTTAAACTCTCTTTGGTGAAGGGTATATAAGATTCGGCACAGCCGAATATAGAACTCTTACTTGTTTATGTATGCATTTACTGTAATCTTTAACAGACGCCAGCAATTTTTTTCATAGAATTTTTAAATACAATTTTAGGATTATTTTCCACATCACCATTTGTAATATTTGATATGTATGAAGAAAATTTAATTTTCAATTCTTTTGAAATAAATTTTCTATCCCTTTTTTCTACATATTTTAAATAATTTCTAATGGGGTTTTGTGGAATAACTAGAGTACGTGGGATAATGCTAAAGCAACAGACAACAAACCACATATAGTATGAAACTTTTGATCATGATGCCATATTTGCGTGCATTAAATATTAAATATGTAGAAGAAAAAAATAATAATAATGAGAGAAATACATAATGAATGGACCGGGTGTATGTATGTATGTTAAGTATTTCATTTTATTTTAAAATTCAACATGGAAAATAATCTCCTAAAAAAAATATTTATTAAAATAAAGTACTTTTTATCTAGGCTATGAAATTGGGCGCTTAGAAAATGCTTTAAAGGAAAAAATATAAAAACAAAAACTATTAACTGGAAAATGTATATTGAAAACTAAAGGAATCAATACTTAAGCTATAAAACAATAAGCTAAAAACCTTTTATATTTAAACAGATACACAATACAATTCATCTTCATTTATTTTCCATTTTGCTGTTTTTTATTTTCAGTGCAACTCGTGGATTTTCCGTTGAAACGTCTCCAACAAATGAAAAACCACCTGAACAACAAAATAATAAAACGGAACCCACACCGCCACCCTCTGTGCCTGAAATTGACGAATATCAAACAGCCTCCAGTACGGTTAGTGACATTGCCGGTGCTGATGTTGTTGGCACAAGTTCACAACAGGGTGTGGGTGGTGGTGGTGGCGTTGGTGTTGTTGCTAACAGAAATTCACTTTCAAATCAAGAATCCATCGATTATGATGCCTTATACGAAGAGGAAGAAGATACAAGTATTAGCATGGAAGCCCATGGATCAATGATATCACATTTATTGTCACAAGTTAAAATTGGTATGGACTTGACAAAAGTTGTACTGCCAACATTTATATTAGAAAGACGTTCCCTATTGGAAATGTATGCTGACTATTTTGCCCATCCAGATTTATTTTTAAAGTAAGTTCCTTAGAAATTAATTTGTAATTTTTAGACATAGTTTTAATTTGTTTTGTATTCTTTTAGGATTGCCGATTTAGATAGTCCACGTGAACGTATTGTACAGGTTTGTCGTTGGTATTTAAGTGCTTATCATGCTGGACGTAAAAGTGCTGTTGCCAAAAAACCCTACAATCCTATATTAGGTGAAGTTTTTCAATGTCATTGGGATATTCCTGGTAAGTGGGCTTTCCATTGAACTTGTGTAGTATAAATTCAGGCATATAGATTATAGATTGCATTGTAGATTAGACTGTAGACTAAACTATATTGTAAACTATTGAATAGACTAGACTATAGACTAGACTATAGACAAGACTATAGACTTGATTATAGACTTGACTATAGACTTGACTATAGACTAGCCTATAGACTTGACTATAGACTAGCCTATAGACTAGACTATAGACTAGACTATATACTAGACAATAGACTAGACAATAGACTAGACTATAGACTAGACTATAGACTAGACTATAGACTAGACTATAGACTAGACTATAGACTAGACTATAGACTATAGACTAGACTATAGACTAGACTATAGACTAGACTATAGACTAGACTATAGACTGACTATAGACTAGACTATAGACTAGACTATAGACTAGACTATAGACTAGACTATAGACTAGACTATAGACTAGACTATAGACTAGACTATAGACTAGACTATAGACCAGACTATAGACTAGACTATAGACTAGACTATAGACTAGACTATAGACTAGACTATAGACTAGACTATAGACTAGACTAGACTAGACTATAGACTAGACTATAGACTAGACTATAGACTAGACTATAGACTAGACTGTAGACTATAGACTATAGACTAGACTATAGACTAGACTATAGACTAGACTATAGACTAGACTATAGACTAGACTATAGACTAGACTATAGACTAGACTATAGACTAGACTAGACTATAGAGTAGACTATAGACTAGACTATAGACTAGACTATAGACTAGACTGTAGACTAGACTATAGACTAGACAATAGACTAGACTATAGACTAGACTAGACTATAGAGTAGACTAGACTATAGACTAGACTAGACTATAGAGTAGACTAGACTATAGACTAGACTATAGACTAGACTATAGACTAGACTAGACTATAGACTAGATTGTAGACTACACTATAGACTACACTATAGACTAGACTATAGACTACACTATACACTAGACTATAGACTAGACTATAGACTAGACTATAGACTAGACTATAGACTAGACTATAGACTAGACTATAGACTAGACTATAGACTAGACTATAGACTAGACTATAGACTAGACTATAGACTAGATAGACTAGACTATAGACTAGACTATAGACTAGACTATAGACTAGACTATAGACTAGACTATAGACTAGACTATAGACTAGACTATAGACTAGACTATAGACTAGACTATAGACTAGACTATAGACTAGACTATAGACTAGACTATAGACTAGACTATAGACTAGACTATAGACTAGACTATAGACTAGACTATAGACTAGACTATAGACTAGACTATAGACTAGACTATAGACTAGACTATAGACTAGACTATAGACTAGACTATAGACTAGACTATAGACTAGACTATAGACTAGACTATAGACTAGACTATAGACTAGACTATAGACTAGACTATAGACTAGACTATAGACTAGACTATAGGCTAGACTATAGACTAGACTATAGACTAGACTATAGACTAGACTATAGACTAGACTATAGACTAGACTATAGACTAGACTATAGACTAGACTATAGACTAGACTATAGACTAGACTATAGACTAGACTATAGACTAGACTATAGACTAGACTATAGACTAGACTATAGACTAGACTATAGACTAGACTATAGACTAGACTATAGACTAGACTATAGACTAGACTATAGACTAGACTAGACTAGACTATAGACTAGACTATAGACTAGACTATAGACTAGACTATAGACTAGACTATAGACTAGACTATAGACTAGACTATAGACTAGACTATAGACTAGACTATAGACTAGACTATAGACTAGACTATAGACTAGACTATAGACTAGACTATAGACTAGACTATAGACTAGACTATAGACTAGACTATAGACTAGACTATAGACTAGACTATAGACTAGACTATAGACTAGACTATAGACTAGACTAAACTAGACTATAAGACTAGACTATAGACTAGACTATAGACTAGGAACTATAGACTAGACTATAGACTAGACTATAGACTAGACTATAGACTAGACTATAGACTAGACTATAGACTAGACTATAGACTAGACTATAGACTAGACTATAGATAGACTATAGACTAGACTATAGACTAGACTATAGACTAGACTATAGACTAGACTATAGACTAGACTATAGACTAGACTATAGACTAGACTATAGACTAGACTATAGACTAGACTATAGACTAGACTATAGACTAGACTATAGACTAGACTATAGACTAGACTATAGAATAGCTATAGACTAGACTATAGACTAGACTATAGAATAGACTATAGACTAGACTATAGACTAGACTATAGACTAGACTATAGACTAGACTATAGACTAGACTATAGACTAGACTATAGACCAGACTATAGACTAGACTATAGACTTGACTAATGGACTTACCTATAGACTTGACTATAGACTTGACTATAGACTTGACTAATGGACTTGACTATAGGCTTGACTAATGGACTTGACTAATGGACTTGACTATAGACTTGACTATAGACTTGACTATAGACTTCACTGAAGACTTGACTATAGACTTGACTATAGACTTGACTTTAGCCTTGACTATAGACTTGACTATAGACTTGACTATAGACTTGACTAATGGACTTGACTAATGGACTTGACTATAGACTTGACTAATGGACTTGACTAATGGACTTGACTATAGACTTGACTATAGACTTGACTATAGACTTGACTAAAGACTTGACTATAGACTTGACTATAGACTTGACTTTAGCCTTGACTATAGACTTGACTATAGACTTGACTATAGACTTGACTATAGACTTGACTATAGACTTGACTATAGACTTGACTATAGACTTGACTAATGGACTTGACTATAGACTTGACTATAGGCTTGACTAATGGACTTGACTATAGACTTGACTAATGGACTTGACTATAGACTTGACTAATGGACTTGACTATAGACTTGACTAATGGACTTGACTATAGACTTGACTATAGCCTGTAGAAATTTCGAAATTTTCTATAAAAAGTAAAAATTTCGAAAAATTTTTCTAAAAAGTAAAATTTCGAAACATTTTTCTAAAATGTGAAAATTTCGAAAAATTTCTATAAAATGTGAAAATTTCGAAAATTTTCTATAAAATATGAAAATTTCGAAACTTTTCTATAAAATGTGAAAATTTCGAAACTTTTCTATAAAATGTGAAAATTTCGAAAATTTTCTATAAAATGTGAAAATTTCGAAAATTTTCTAAAAAATGTGAATATTTCGAAAATTTTCTATAAAATGTGAAAATTTCGAAAATATTCTATGAAAAAGATAACATTTCACAAATTTTCTATAAACATTGTAACGAAATTTTTCTAAAAAAAATCTTTAAATACTAGATTTTTCGAAAATGTTCTTCAGATGTAAAATTTATTGAAAATTTTCTATAAATTTTAAATTTATCAAAAATTTTTTTTAATCATAAACTAACAAAGTTAAGAATTTAAAGTAAACCAGTAAATTTATTGAATTGTACGTTTGCAGGTGAAAATCCCGATGAAAATAATGTTCAAGATGGTCCTATACCCTGGTGCCGAAGAGATCAGTTAACATTTTTAGCCGAACAAGTTTCACATCATCCACCCAGTATGTATTGAAACTTAATGCCTAAAAATTAAAAACAAATTTAATGAAAATTATGTATTTTTTTTAGTTTCTGCGTTTTATGCCGAACATTTTAATAAGAAAATCACTTTCTCTGCTCATGTCTGGACTAAATCAAAATTTTTGGGTTTATCAGTGGGTGTACATAATATTGGCGAAGGTGTTGTTACCCTAGTAGATCGTGGTGAAGAATATATTGTTACCTTTCCCAATGGTTATGGGCGGTGAGTTTTTTTTTTATTGTTGTTTTCTTTACTTTTCTTGGTATTTATGAGATTATTTTGTATCTTATTGGTAGTTCTATTTTAACTATACCCTGGATTGAATTGGGTGGTTCGGTGGAAATCAAATGTCCTCAAACTGGCTATTATGCTCAAGTGGAATTTTTGACTAAACCATTTTATGGCGGTAAACGTAATAAAGTTACTTGTGAGGTAAGTTTTTTTGTTTTGTTGATAATACAGATTTTGATTGTTTTATTTGTTTTTATTAAAATTTTTTGTTAATTTTATTTAGATTTATTCTCCCAATGAAAAGAAACCATTTGTTTCAATTGCTGGCGAATGGAGTGGTTTGATGGAAGCTAAATGGCATGATACACATGTAATGTATTTCTTTTTTACTCTCTTTTTATATTCCAACTATTGTTTTCAATATTATTTTCAATTATATTTTTGCATTAGCTTTTTGGTTTATTTTTGTATATGAAGTCAACTTTTCTTAAAGAATTGAGAGAGATTTTAAGAAAATTTTAAACAAAAAAGTTAAATTCATATACAATATTTGTATGCTGCTTATGTATGTAATATTTTGATATTCTTAAACAAATTATGTACATCAAAACCATCTGTTTTGGAAATCGAATACATTCCTCTAGGAATGTATGACATATTAACATGGTTTTGAAATAACTTAATACAATAACTTTCTACTAATTGTAGAATATATTTTTATATTTAATAACGTATTTGTCCTCCTGTATTACAAGTATTACTATTTTATATAAATTAAAATTAATAATTTTTATATATTTTTATCTTTTTTCTACTTACACTTTTTAAACAAATCCTTAAACCAAAATTTCTTTAACACATACTCTTCCTCATCCGCCTTTCCCGCTCCTTCCTACTCTCACTCACTGACCACAAGTATTTAAGCTTATTATCATACTATAAACTAAGTTTAAAACTATAAACCCCCAACATTTCTCCCCCCCCCCACTACACCGCAACTGTCGATTACTTGTACTTCTCTCTTAAATATTCTGGTCTAAATTTCTATGTTTATCTAGAAAATTAATTGTTTATGTTTAAACTATTGAGTGTATGTGTGTGTGTGTGTTGGTGTATTGGTGCTTGTATCTGTTTTATACCTCTATAAAACCTTTTTTTTAGACCATAGTTAATTGTATCCGTTTTGTATATTGGTTGTGTAGAGTGCGTGTGTTATCGAAATACTTTTTAAAATTAATATAATTGAAAATTTGTTGCAACAAAAAAAAAAAAAAAAAAAAAAAAAAACAGAAATGTCATGTTAAATTCAATGGGAAATTTGTTTTGTCTTCTTTTTTGCAAAATTTTTTAATTTTCTAGAAAACTGAAGTATTTGTCGATGTAAATCGTATACCAATATTTAAGAAACAAGTTCGACCAATCGTTGAACAGGAAGAATACGAATCAAGACGTGTTTGGAAGGAAGTAACCGCTGGACTCAAGTAATGATTGTTTTTTATTATTATTATTATTATTATTCATTATTTATATAAACATTTTTATTTTGTAAAGTTATTGTTATTGGTAATATTTTAGGCCAAAATGAAGATTACAATCGTTATTATGGCAACTCAATTAATTATAATTAGAAATTTTGCAAATTGATTAGATAACAGACTGTAGAATAGACTACGGCAATAAACTATACTATGGACTAGATATAGACTAGACTATAAACCAGACTATAGAGACTAGACTATAGACTAGACTTTAGACTAAACTATGGACTAGACTATAGAATAGACTATACACCAGACTAGACTATAGACCAGACAATAGACTCGACTATAGACTATACTTTAGACTAGTCTGCTTCAGACCAGACTGTAGATTAGTCAATGGTCATGGCTATAAACTAGAATAGACAATAGAGTAGACTATAGACTATACTATAGACCAGACTATAGACTAGACCATAGACTTGACTATAGACTAGACTATAGATAAGACTATAGACTAAACTATAAACTTGACTATAAACATGACTAGACTAGACTGGACTATTGACTAGACTATTGACTAGACTATAGACTAGACTATAGACTAGACTATAGACTATAGACTAGACTATAGACTAGACTATAGACTAGAATATAGACTAGACTATAGACTAGACTATAGGCTAGACTATAGACTAGACTATAGACTAGACTATAGACTAGACTATAGACTAGACTATAGACTAGACTATAGACTAGACTATAGACTAGACTATAGACTAGACTATAGACTAGACTATAGACTAGACTATAGACTAGACTATAGACTAGACTATAGACTAGACTATAGAATAGACTATAGACTAGACTATAGACTAGACTATAGACTAGACTATAGACTAGACTATAGACTAGACTATAGACTATAGACTAGACTATAGACTAGACTATAGACTAGACTATAGGATATCGACTAGACTATAGACTAGACTATAGACTAGACTATAGACTAGACTATAGACTAGACTAGACTATAGACTAGACTATAGACTACTAGACTAGACTATAGGACTAGACTATAGACTAGACTATAGACTAGACTATAGACTAGACTATAGACTAGACTATAGACTAGACTATAGACTAGACTATAGACTAGACTATAGACTAAACTATAGACTAGACTATAGACTGGACTATAGACTAGACTATAGACTAGACTATAGACCAGACTATAAACTATACTATAGACTACACTATAGACTACAGTATAGACTATACTATAGACTAGGCTATAGACTAGACTATAGACTAGACTATAGACTAGACTATAGACTAGACTATAGACTAGACTATAGACTAGACTATAGACTAGACTATAGACTAGACTATAGACTAGACTATAGACTAGACTATAGACTAGACTATAGACTAGACTATAGACTAGACTATAGACTAGACTATAGACTAGACTATAGACTAGACTATAGACTAGACTATAGACTAGACTAGACTATAGACTAGACTAGACTAGACTATAGACTAGACTAGACTATAGACTAGACTATAGACTAGACTATAGACTAGACTATAGACTAGACTAGACTATAGACTAGACTATAGACTAGACTATAGACTAGACTATAGACTAGACTATAGACTAGACTATAGACTAGACTAGACTAGACTATAGACTAGACTATAGACTAGACTAGACTATAGGCTAGACTAGACTGTAGACTAGACTAGACTATAGACTAGACTATAGACTAGACTATAGACTAGACTATAGACTAGACTATAGACTAGACTATAGACTAGACTATAGACTAGACTATAGACTAGACTATAGACTAGACTATAGACTAGACTATAGACTAGACTATAGACTAGACTATAGACTAGACTATAGACTAGACTATAGACTAGACTATAGACTAGACTATAGACTAGACTATAGACTAGACTATAGACTAGACTATAGACTAGACTATAGACTAGACTATAGACTAGACTATAGACTAGACTATAGACTAGACTATAGACTAGACTATAGACTAGACTATAGACTAGACTATAGACTAGACTATAGACTAGACTATAGACTAGACTATAGACTAGACTATAGACTAGACTATAGACTAGACTATAGACTAGACTATAGACTAGACTATAGACTAGACTATAGACTAGACTATAGACTAGACTATAGACTAGACTATAGACTAGACTATAGACTAGACTATAGACTAGACTATAGACTAGACTATAGACTAGACTATAGACTAGACTATAGACTAGACTATAGACTAGACTATAGACTAGACTATAGACTAGACTATAGACTAGACTATAGACTAGACTATAGACTAGACTATAGACTAGACTATAGACTAGACTATAGACTAGACTATAGACTAGACTATAGACTAGACTATAGAGACTATAGACTAGACTATAGACTAGACTATAGACTAGACTATAGACTAGACTATAGACTACACTATAGACTAGACTATAGACTACACTATAGACTAGACTATCTAGACTAGACTAGACTATAGACTAGACTATAGACTAGACTATAGACTAGACTATAGACTAGACTATAGACTAGACTATAGACTAGACTATAGACTAGACTATAGACTAGACTATAGACTAGACTATAGACTAGACTATAGACTAGACTATAGACTATACTATAGACTAGACTATAGACTAGACTATAGACTAGACTATAGACTAGACTATAGACTAGACTATAGACTAGACTATAGACTAGACTAGACTAGACTATAGACTAGACTATAGACTAGACTATAGACTAGACTATAGACTAGACTATAGACTAGACTATAGACTAGACTATAGACTAGACTATAGACTAGACTATAGACTAGACTATAGACTAGACTATAGACTAGACTATAGACTAGACTATAGACTAGACTATAGACTATACTATAGACGACTATAGACTACACTATAGACTAGACTATGACTACACTATAGACTAGACTATAGACTAGACTATAGACTAGACTATATAGACTATAGACTAGACTATAGACTAGACTATAGACTAGACTATAGACTAGACTATAGACTAGACTATAGACTAAACTATAGACTAGACTATAGACTACACTATAGACTAGACTATAGACTACACTATAGACTAGACTATAGACTAGACTATAGACTAGACTATAGACTAGACTATAGACTAGACTATAGACTAGACTATAGACTAGACTATAGACTAGACTATAGACTAGACTATAGACTAGACTATAGACTAGACCATAGACTAGACTATAGACTATACTATAGACTAGACTATAGACTAGACTATAGACTAGACTATAGACTAGACTATAGACTAGACTATAGACTAGACTATAGACTAGACTATAGACTAGACTATAGACTAGACTATAGACTAGACTATAGACTGGACTATAGACTGGACTATAGACTGGACTATAGACTGGACTATAGACTAGACTATAGACTAGACTATAGACTAGACTATAGACTAGACTATAGACTAGACTATAGACTAGACTATAGACTAGACTATAGACTACACTATAGACTAGACTATAGACTAGGAAAAAGAATATTTTCAAATGAAAAAGATAAAACGAAAAAGACATTTAAGAGACGACAACATATTTGTTGTTAGACAATTGCTGTTAAACTAGACTATAGACTAGACTATAGACTAGACTATAGACTAGACTATAGACTAGACTATAGACTAGACTATAGACTACACTATAGACTAGACTATAGACTACACTATAGACTAGACTATAGACTAGACTATAGACTAGACTATAGACTAGACTATAGACTAGACTATAGACTAGACTATAGACTAGACTATAGACTAGACTATAGACTAGACTATAGACTAGACTATAAACTAGACTATAGACTAGACTATAGACTAGACTATAGACTAGACTATAGACTAGACTATAGACTAGACTATAGACTAGACTATAGACTATACTATAGACTAGACTATAGACTAGACTATAGACTAGACTATAGACTAGACTATAGACTAGACTATAGACTAGACTATAGACTAGACTATAGACTAGACTATAGACTAGACTATAGACTAGACTATAGACTAGACTATAGACTAGACTATAGACTAGACTATAGACTAGACTATAGACTAGACTATAGACTAGACTATAGACTAGACTATAGACTAGACTATAGACTAGACTATAGACTAGACTATAGACTTGACTATAGACTTGACTATAGACTAGACTATAGATAGGACTATAGAATAGACTATGGACTAGACTATAGATTGGACTATAGACTAGACTAGATTTGACTTTAGACTAGACTATATGGTAGATTATAGGCTGGACTATGAAGTGGAAATTTCCTATCAAAAATATATTTTTTTAGTTTTCAATTATTACATTACTAATTCCTTTATTTTCCCTCCCGTTAAGATTCAATGACATTGAAAAGGCAACAAATGCTAAATGCAAAGTCGAACAAATACAGAGAGAAGAAGCCAAGGCTAGAAAAGAAACTGAAATGTCCTGGGAACATAAGGTGAGTACATAATTAAGAATTATACAAATTTAACATTATAATTTAAACAATTTTTAATTAAAAAAATTATATTATTATAGTATTTCAAACCAGTGGGTGAAAATTGGATCTATACCAAACCCTTAAGCCAGCGTGTTTATTTACAAGAAAAAGAAAGTAAAGATAATAAAGCTAAATGCTAAAAATGTGCAAAGTATAATAAATAATATGAAAAAGAAAACATCTGTCTCATATCACTAAATAAAAAGTAAAAAAATAAACGAATGCCGCCAAATGAAAAAACAAACTAGTAAAGGAAATATTGAGTAATAAATGTTTATAATAAAAACAAAAACT